CATAGAAGGAAATTTATTTGTAATTGCAAAAAATACGAGCACCTGCAGATGAAACTACCAAGAAATTTCCGATATAAATTAGTTCTGACTCAATACTTGCTGAGAAATTACTCAGCTTACCATGAAACCATAAAGAAGACTCCACAAAATTTCAAGCTACCTTAACACACGAGAAAGACTTTTTCTGGAAATTTCTGAAAAATTTCGACAATTACTAGGAAATTTCTATAATTTCTAAAATTATATCATGTAGATATGATAAGATAGATATATATTCAAGAACCCTCACCCCAAGAAGTAGAAGAATTGTTGATAATTTCGGTAAATACTAGAAAATTTTAGTAATTACGAAAATTTCTTGTTTCTTTATTTATATCATATAGATATCAAAATTTTCTAGTAATTACCAAAATTTCTCAGAAATTTTCAGAAAAAGTCTTTCCCGTGTGTTAAGGTAGCTTGAAATTTTGTGGTGTTTTCTTTATGGTTTAATTGTAAGCTGAGTAATTTCTCAGCAAGTATTGAGTCAGAACTAATTTATATCGGAAATTTCTTGGTAGTTTCATCTGCAGGTGCTCGTATTTTTCGTAATTACAAATAAATTTCCTTCTATGAAGTTGGTATTTACCGAAATTATTTGGTAGTTTCGTTCTGTAGTAGCAGTAATTACAGAAATTTCTGGGAAAATTCCTTGCTGAGGTGAAGATAATTTCCGAAACTTCTGAGAATTTTCGTTGGTATGTTTATGGAATTTTGGAAATTTCTATCTCGTATAATGGTAATTGCTGGAATTTCTGCGAAATTTCTATTTATACGCATGAATATCTTGAAATGTGTATCGGAGAAAATCTGTTATTTTCGGAAAGTTCCTTTTTCGAAAATCTGAACATATCTCAGTTTGAGAGTGAAATACTAAATTATTAGTCACGCTAACTTTTTCGATTATAAATTAAACAATGCAAAATTTTCGTCTGAAAATTCTTTTCTATGGTTTCACCTTTTGAGGAAAGTGTTTACGTTCTTATATTGCACTAGAGACCAAAAAAAGCTAAAAATCGTGCTTTCTTGACGATCGTGAAACTGATTAACACGATAAAAGTTATACTCCAAAGGTCACCTGGAAAATTCCAACTTGTATAAGACTACCAACGAACCACACTCTTTCTATTGCGCAAGTATGTAACTCATTGTTGATATGTGTGCACACCTTTTCATTACTCTCTTGCGTTCTTTCCAGCAAAACAAAAGGCTTTTATACAAGAAAAAAGTCATTCGATACAATCATTGCATATAAAAAGGTTGGTCACGTTATCTATTGACGCACTCGAGTGTGGCAGCAATAACCTCGAATGGCTCTGTGTTCTGAATATGCTATCATCTGGCTCGATGCTCATATTGGATTACCCGCTCACTGTCAAAGAATGAAGCAAGAATTTCAACTGGCTCTTTCAGAAGTTGCAGTCGTTCCATTACTACTGTACGATTCAATCGAAAGTCTCCTTTTTGGTATCAACGAATACTATGCTCCACTTTTGTTTGCGGACACAAAAGAAAGAGTATTAGACCTAATTAAAACAAGATGAGCTTACAAAAAGGTCATATTAATTGCGTCACCCTCAATGGGTAGAGAGATTATTCCTAAAATTATTGATCATAATTTACCAGTTGAATAATTTTCTATTTTCTGTGACCATATGACGTACCATATAGATTGGGCTCTTGAATATGTTGATAATGGCTTGGGTTTACAAATGTTCGACTTTGAGACTGATCTAATGGTGAGGCTCGGTCGAGATATGAGCAAGAAATTGATCCCAGAAGGAAACATCATATTATCGACAAAGTATCCTGCATTCGCGTTGAAATACTTTGAGTATGCTTATGCTCTTGTGGAGAAGGCCATCCAACGTAATTACTATCGATTTAAAGATCATCGGCAAGTGTTGGATGGCGAGAATGGTCTTATTGTGCAAGAAAAAAAGCCATGCAATAAAGTTTTTTGTTAAAAACTGTACTTCGTTATTTTTACATGTTTACATTGCCGAGTAACATTTTGTTCAAGTTGGAAGCAACGAAACTATGTCACGCAAGAGCTTTGAAAATGAATGATTATTTTTAACGAACACTTTTTATAGATAAATAAACTTGTTGTGCACTTTAACCTAAATGATCATTTGTTTTAATGAGATCATGCAGTATCTACTAGGGTCGATCAGACCTCAGTTTACAGTTCGGATTGAATAATAGAAAGAATTGGTCGAACAGATCAGGTTCTAACAAAAAAATCATATGAACAGGTCTCTTGATCGAAATTGATCTGTTTGAGCAGTTCAATTCTAGGAACTGATCCATCCAAGGTTAACAAGCTACTTAAGGATGATTCTTATAACTTCAAAGGCCATCTGGAAGCCATTACACAGTAGAGACGACCCAAGAGCGAGCCACATGCTTCATTGACATCACGGAGTCCAGTGAAATTATGCTGATTGTAGTCCAAGGGAGAGAAAAGCGTACTTCTGCACTTGTGAAGTAAAGAAGTACGCTTTTTTCTTCTTTGTCGTCAAACAATAAAACGACTTTGATCGAAGTTCTTGAGATTATCACCTAGGCTCTCTATAACATTAATGTGAATGACGATTTGATTAATGAAAGTTTGGCTTGAACAGTAGTCCGTTTTTTCATATACACTTTCTTTGTTACAGGTACGGCAATCGTGTGCAAAGAGAAGCGAGCTGAATACGATCGACAGACGATAGCCATGGTTGGAAAGAACGGATTACCTGGATCATAGAAATGATGTAACCGTTTTTATCTCGAAGAGAAAACGGTTTTAACATGTTTAAAAAGTTTTTTTTTGTTACAACTTGATGTTTATTTTTCGAAGACAAGACTTTTCTTTTTTTCCATTTACTATAGATAAAAACTGTAGCTGTTCGCGGACGGAACAAATTGAAATCGTTAGATGACAAGAATGTCACAAGTAGATTGAAACTTTGCGACATCTTTGGATGATATCGTCGAAGCTACTCCTGATATTATTGGTGATCCCATAAGACGCCAACCGTTCATCAAAGCTCAGTACTCTTTTTCTAGACATAGTTGTCGAATACATGGCCAATAAGGTTGTATTTCAACGCAAAGCATTCGATTGGATGAATAAATATGAATTTTGATATACCTACGATTCTGTCTCATATCTATTTTACATATGATCAAACGAGACGACCATGAAGTGTTTTTTCCCTACCTCCCTACATTTATATGTGCACACATGTGTTTGCAACAAGATGAAAGGTACGGTCATGAAAGTGGATATGTGTTTTTCTTTATTTTTCTAACGCTATCGCTCGTCGAGGCTTTTTCTGTTCTTTTACTTCCCACACGCACCACACCAAAGAAAAACACAACTCAAGCATCAAAGACGAGTGATTCATTCATTTTACATCTTCCTTTCTGTTTTTTGCTTCAAACGTTAATTGCTAACTGGTTGCGTGTTTTGGAGTTGTCGTAGCGTCGTATTATTTGACCAAGAGTAGATGGGAAACGTATCACAAAATAATTGCAAGGATTTTTTCTAACTAGTTTCCCGTCTAATGTGTGCTATATAGCATGTACGGGTAAGTTTTCTAGGATCAATAGAATGAAATATGATTTATCCATTAAAGTTTCGATCTGTTTAAATTCCAGAGTATACCTTTTGTTTTAGTGTTGTGTCGGATGTGGGATTTTTCCAAGTTAGCTAACACAAAATGAAATTTATCAAACGGTTCGATTATAAATAGATGCTTAAACAACATAGCTGTCCTATCGACATTTCTCCGTGTTCTATTTCGTATGGTGAACTCTCCTTTTGTTCTTACGTGGTTCAAAAAAAGGTTACAGACATGGATTCTTCAAAATGACGATACTTTTTGTGGAACGAATTTCGTTGATAAGACAAAAAGTCGAACGATTCTGGTTTTTTTCTCAAGTTTTTAGCCATTTTTCGAGTACGCATATTTAAATGAGATCGAAATCGAAAATTTCTGACTATGCAGTTCTCTAGTCCTGAGTAAAACATGGTAAATAAACTTCAGATCATATTAACATGGTTAGAATGCATCTTCTACGGTTTATTCCAGTTGATCAAGAAAGAGGCTTCACTTGTAAAGCAAGATTTGTAAAAATTCAGTTAAGAGTTTGTTAATAAAACGGAAAAAAACTTCAAGAATCCGGTGAAATGCCGAGTTCTATACACACTGCAATAGGCTTTCAGGCAATTCTAATGTTCATTTGATTTTCTTTACTTTTCGAGTGAGAATTTAACTAATTGAAGAGTAAGAATATGTCGAACTCGTCCCCAGAATATAATCAATTAATAAAACGAGAAATAACAAGAAAATTTTCCGATAAAAGATGTTTCGTTTCAGAGGAACAAAAAAATACGGCATTTTTAAACGTGAACTCTGTAAACTAGAGCATAAACTTTCAGATATTCCGAATAAATATTGTTTTTTTAGAAATTCAGAGACTTAAATGGCAAGAAGAAACGAAAAAAAAACAAATCATAAACTGAATAGAGACCATTTGAAAGTGTAATGCAAATATTGCTGGAAATTTTCAAATATATTTACATTAATAATAGAGTCACTTCTTTTCATTTCTTTCGTAGAACAAAAAACCCATACACACATGTGGAAATTTACAACAATACAGTCAATCATCATGAGATTCTTTCTTTAAATCTAACAAATATACAGAGACGTTATTTGTGTTGTATACTTTTCAGATTGTATCATTTTCATTCCTTCTATGGCAGGAGCGGCTCCGAGTCCGTTAAATAAGAAACTTTGGAGAGAATTGACTGAGGTCAAATTATTGGCTAAAGACAATAAGCTAAAACACGGCAAGTTTATTTATGAAAGTTCTTCATTCGACTATGCGCAAGATGACTTGCCCAAGGATTATGCTCAAAATATTATCGTTGGACGATTAGAACTAACATCGAATATCTATAAAAATCATGCTCTTCGAATTGAAATCCATCTACCACCAGAATATCCGATGAAACCACCGGAAGTGGTCATAGCAACACCAATCTATCATCCAAATGTTAACGAAAAAAGTAAGTAAAGTTTACCGATGGTCTCTTGTTGCGAAGCAGGAAATGAATGAAACTTGCTAATAATATCATAAGTTTTATACTTATTTTTCTATTATGTAGATCGATTATGTGATAATCGTCTGGTTCTTAGCGAGACATGGAACAATCAAACGACTTTGACCGGGGTTCTTGAGATTATTGTCGACGCTCTTGATAATCCTAGACCTGAAGATGCTCCAGTGAATACCGGTTAGTTCTGAACAGTAGCCTATTGCCTCTTTTGCATTCACTCTGTTATAGGCGCCGCTAAAGACTTTATACAAAACCCAGCTGAATACGAACGGAAGGCGACGGAAATGATCCAACAGAATGGATTACCTCGATCACAAGAATAATCCAATGTTTTTTCTTCTCGAACAGAAAATGATTTTGTTAGGTGCAAAAGCTTTTTTCCCCATTATATCTATCTTTCAGATATAAGCCTTCTCTATTTTTTGTCTTCAATAAACAAGAATTCTGCTTTGTGATTGAAAATTCTCTTCATAGATGAAACACTTTTACCTTTTGAAATAAATGAAAGAAAGCCAAGACCACTGATGGGGTGTGTGGGTGTGAGTGGGTGGGGGTGGGGGTGCGGATGTGGGTGGGGTGTGAGTGTGGGTGTGGGTGTGTGTGGGCGTAGGAGCTGATTATCTCTTTATCCATACCTACCCACACCCACATTCCACACCCACATTCCACACCCACACCCACACCCCACACCCACACCCACACCCCACACCCACATCCCACACCCACATTCCACACCCACACCCCACACCCACACTCGCACCCCATACCCACACCCACCCACACCCACCCCACACCTACACCAACACCCACACCCACTCACACCCACACCCACACCCACACCCTTCGACTGGTGATCTTGAACGATAATCTGCCATATGGTTTTTCTTGCCTTGAATGTGTTTCACCTTAAATCGATATTCAGCTAATTTTAATCGCCATCGTTCACATCTTTTATTTAATTGTTCTTTGTTTGAAAAATGAATTAATGGTTCATGATCAGTTTCTAATATAAATTCATCTCCACGAAGATATTTGTCCCATTTTTCTATTGCTTGTACTACTGCATAACATTCTTGTTCAATTGTCGGCCAATTAGTTTGTGTTTTTGTTAATTTCTTTGACATATATGCTAATGGTCGATCACCATTCGGAGTAATTTGTAATAGGACAGCGCCAATTCCATCTACAGAAGCATCAGTTTGTAATTTAAATGTTAATGTATCATCAGGAAAATCAAGAATAAGATCAGTTGTTAATATTTTCTTGAGTTGGTGGAATGCTGTTCTAGCTTCAGCAGATAGTTCAAATTTTAATTTTTTATTATTCTTTTGTTGTTGTACTGTTGCTGGAGAATATTTATGTAACGGTGCAGCGATGGTAGAAAATTTTGGAATAAATTTTCGGTAATATTCTGCTGCTTTGACGAATCTAAATGCTTCTTCAGCTGATGTTGGTTCACGTGTTTCAGTCAAACCACGGATGGTGTCTGGATCAGGTTTAATAGTACCTGCTTTAATTAAGTGTCCAAGAAATAATATTTCTGTTCTTGCAACTTCGCATTTATCAACATTTGATTTAAAATTTGCTTCATGTAATAATAAACATACTTCTTCGATATGTTTTAAATGTTCATTAAAATTTTGTGAGTAAATAATAATATCATCGATATAGGCGAGTACATGTTTCCATCTGTTTGGACCTAAAATTTGATTAACAATACGTTGAAATGTTGGTGGCCCATTAGTAAGGCCTTGTGATAATACTTTAAATTGAAAATGCCCATCTCGTGTTGAAAATGCTGTTTTTGGTTGATCTGCTTTATCTAATGGTACTTGAAAATATCCAGCTTTAAAATCAAATTTCGTATGATTTAAGCGACGATAATCGACACAAAATATTCTTGTTCTATCTTTCTTTTTTACTAATATGACGGGTGAAGACCATGGTGATGTTGAACGTTCAATAAGTCCATTTTTCAGTAATTTTTCTGTTTCTTTTCTTAAGGTTTCTTGATCTTTGTTTGATTTTCTATATGGTGGAGTATGAACAGGACGTTGTGTACCAGTATCAATAGCATTTTTTTAAATTATATCAATTTTTGATGGTTCACTAATGTCAAATAATTTCCATATTTCCATAAAATTTTAAAAATTTGTTCTCGTTGTTTATCATCGCTAATATGTTCAGTTAATTTATTTATTTGCTGTCTTATTTCTTCAGGATAACATTGATTTCTAAGATGCTTGAATAATTCATTCCCAGTATCAAAATGTTGATAACATTTACGACATTGATGTTGTTTTCCATGTGATGCTATAGTTGGTATGTTGTTACAATTTAATTTATTTGATTTGTTCGCTCCTTTTCCTTCAGGAATGAGCTCTTTACAGGCTTTTCCTTCCAGAATGCGTTCTATCAAATAATTTGATGGTATGGTAACACCAATTGTAGAAGATAATTGCGTCACTATACCTAATTTGGTTCCTTCGGAAAGCGTTTGTTGTCGATTGGTTGCATTAATTATACTTATTTTTATTGTTCTATTTTCAATATTGAGTAATGCATTTACAGTAAATAATGCTTCATTTTTTAATCGAGGATTTGGTTCAAGTAATACATTAGTCATATTGTTGGGTTGGACTTTTGCTTCTACTATTTTTCCTGAAAAAGGAGGAAGAGTAATATGATTAATAAGAGTAGCTGGATAATTTAAAAGAGGTGGTTTTACAAAAGGAGTTGATACTTCTTTACCTCGACTTCGGATCATAATTCGTTGTTCTGGTGTAAGTATACAAACATTGTTTGCTTGGATCCAATCACTACCTAATATTAAATTTGTAACAAGATTGGTTGTAACATCAGCAATAATTGCTGTTTTTATGCCATTAACATTTATTTCTAAGGGTATCTCACCAATAATATTTAGTGTTGAGCAATTTGCAGATAAATGATTTATTGTTTTTGGTATTAATTTTTCATGTGGTATATATGATTTAATAAGTGTTGATGTATAATAGTGATGGCCGATCCGGTATCGATAAGTGCTGTTTGTGGAGTATTGTTGCATAAAATTTTGACAAAAATAGGAGCAAATGTTGTTGAGGTTGATGACTTTTTTGCTTCACAGGGATCATCGCCATCATCCGATCCCTTTATTCGAAAAAATGTTGTTGAGGACAATCACGCACTTGATGATTTGATTGTCCGCATTTAAAACA